TGATGGCGAAAAAGCCAAAAAGAAGAAAAAAAAAAACTTTAACGAAAACAAGAGCTGTTTCGGTTGTAACCGAAACAGCTAAAAAAAAAGGAAAAAAAAATCTTAACGAAAACAAGAGCTGTTTCGGTGGGTCACCGAAACAGCTAAATACAACATTTGCAAAAATCAAAAAATAAAACTACCAAATCATTTTGAAAAAACCTTGCTGGACTGTTAGTGAATGACAGTGTAAAGCATCCTGTAAAATCATGGCACCTGGTAAACTGTCATTTTCAAGAAAAGTGGTATTTTTGTATCAATTTCCAACGCTGGTCGGCCGATCAGCGTTGGAAAAAAACTGGCTTTTTTCAAATACTGGCCCCAATTGACAATCGCACTTGTTTGCAATCTATTACACACCTATGAACGGGTACAAGCCAGCTAGACTGGTTCCCTGACCTTACAATTCCCCAATGTATGTAAACTGCTATGTTTCTTCTTATATGGAGTTAGGGAACCAGACTACAGGAAAATGATTGTTTTTCTTGGTTTTTATAGCATTTTCGAACCCAAAACCTAAAAAAAGTTAGTGTAACTATATTTGCTATATATTTCCAACCCCCCAATTGCATCCATTCCTGAAAATTACAGCAAAAGCAAATGATGTATATTCCCTTTAACCCTAAAGGGGCCGGGTTATTTTGACCGTCTCTCAGCCGGGGGGGGGGGGCGGATTCCGCCCCCCCCTAAGATCTCGGCCATCGAGTGACGAACAATTTTGAAACTCAGCATATGCATAGAGCAACTCTTCCTAAACATGCCCAAGAAATTTCATGACTATAGGTCAAAGGGTTTTGGAATTATGGCTAATTAATTATTCATATGAAAAAAAAAGAAACAAAGTAAGACTGCTGCAAACTGCTTACTGACTGGGTGGACCTGAAATATATAAATCTAAAAATTAATGTGGCCTGACGTTGCGAACTTAGCAAGTTCTTCTTCAGAGGCTAAAACAGAAATGACAGAGGTACATACATTTACATGGGGGTGCACACAAACATGCAGGGCTGAAAGAAGAAACACAAAAGGAGGATTAGGTGGGAAAGGTGTGGAAAGATGCAGGGGAGGGTGGATGAGAGAATAAAGAAACAAAGGGAGATGGCAAACCACAAGGGGTCCGGTATAAACGGGGGAGGGACCAGAAAGGGGAAGGAACAAACGTCACAGGGAGTGGGAACGGACAAAAGAGTGTAAGAGTGAAGGGGGATGATGCGGGGGGGGGGACAGTATGGAGGTGGAAAGGGATGAAAGATGGGGGAAGATGGGTAAACACAAACAAGGAAGACGAGGTGGATTATCTGTAACAGAAGACAATGGAGGAAGAAAAGGATTAATCATTTCCAAGTTGGATGTTGAGACCATGTGGTTGAATAGTTCGAAGACGATTCATCCACATGTGACCTGTCGTGTTTTACAACAGACAGGTCTCGGTAACATTTCTAATATAATCATAAGCATAGTACATAGGCTGTACAATATGATGAGCCATTATTTTGATAACATAATTAGCGCCCTCTGTAGTTACAGAAACTTTTTATTGCAACGCCCTCGCTTGGTTCCTTAACTTTCCTGCAATCACATTCTAGCATAACTAGCTGCATTGGCCAGGAACATTTCAACATACCTTGCATTCCAGAATATTGTTAACACTTTCTGAGCTGCATTGCGAGCTGCATAACTTAGCTTTCGTGTAATGACAAGGCATTGCTAGAGACACTCATCCACTTGCTTGCGATCAGACCACACCTACAATTTAGAAGTGCTCTGATTATAGCTCAACTACAGCTAGTTGGGGACAATTTCCCCTTCGTTTGGTGGTGGCACGACCGTTGTTCAGCCTAGGCGGTGAGTACACACCTAATTTTTATATCTTTCTTTTCAATTTTTATTGTAAATTTTGTAGAAGCCTTGTGTAAAGATACTATGGATAGATTTTCACATAATACAAAGGGTTTGATTCTCTTCAATTGTAATTATGCTTGAAAGAGAAGTGTTCTCGATATTAAAGGGAATACATGCTATAAAATATCACCTTTTCCCACCAGCTTTAGGCATAATTGGCCATAATTGTAAGGTGAATTAGCAAGAAATGTAAAGCAATAACTAAAGTAGAACGTGCTTCTTCAAGTTTCTCTTATTACCTGATGCTTAAGTAAACTAAAGCACTGTTTCAGAGACCATGGGCAGTATTATGCACCATGAGGCTCCGCCAAATATTAGTTTAAATGTTAGAATTATCTTATTAGTTTTGTAACTGATTGGATTTTGCTAAGTAAGGAAAAATTAAATGGATGACAACCAGTTTACACGATGGCAAGTTTTACAAATATATGTACACATTCCAAATAGCTTTAGTTAAATAATTAAATTCCTGGATGTTGAAGTTTTTCCAATTTTATCAGCAAAAGCTAAGATTAAAACATGCAACAGTAACTTTATGTACCCGACATGAAACAGTCGTTGTATACAACCATGTGCTTTACCCGCAAACGTTTTCACCAGATTGATACGATAAATAAATCCCAAATTACCCTTTTTCGATTCAGCACATGGACTTCAGATTTGCACAATGGAAACAGGGATGATAATGAGAGAATATGGCATAGTAATTATGTAATATATCTAGCAAATTTATCCTTAATAGTTAGAGTTTGGGACACGATTTAATCTAACTACCTACACGTTTGGTGGCGGACCCGAAAAGGACCGTTTCGCACAGCGCATTATAAGATGGCAAGTCTCATGTGATATAAATAGACATGATGGAATCACGGTTTTGCATAAACACTACGGTGTGTCCTAAAGGACACGGACTCTGACAATAATAATTATTCGCTGGCCTATTATTAATGGATGGATTTAGGATTTTATAATGCATTTATTGCATATCCTTGGAACTCTGAGAAGAAAATATATTGAACCTCTTTCAGGATTATATGGTACAATTGTTACAGATAAATTAACGTATTTACATTGCGGAGCTAAGCTGTAAATGCTGAATTGAATTGCTATGTACATGTATTTTAAAATGATAACAAACTAATGAGATGTCCATTTTGTTCTCTTTAATTCCACAGACGTACAACTGTATACCCATTTGACTGTCGTTTTTTTTTGTATATATATTCGAGAGAGCCACAACTGTATATTTTGTATAGATTCATCCGAATAAATTAATCAAATCTAGTCATCTCTCCGTGTCCACTCGCTTCACATCAATATTTATTAACTATAAGTAGCCTTCGGCCACATGAAGAGTTCCCTGCTAGACCAAACCAATAACTCTTCCCTTGGCTACACACACTTTCTCTCTGCTGAGGCGAACTGAGTCCTTGCGATGGCCAAGAGATTCAATTCCCTGCAAAATCATATCAGAAATGGAGTGGTTAGGCAGGTTGAAGTGATGACCAACAGGGGTGTCTAGTTTCTTGGTGTTGACCGTTGACCGGTGGGCATAGAAACGCTTCTTGAGCGTATTCTTAGTCTCACCTACATACTGCACTCCACAGACCCTGCAAGAAATGAGATATATGACATTAGAGGTGTTACAACTGATGTTACCAATGGTTCTGTGGGTAGTAGCAGAAGAGTGGCCAGAAAAGGAGTCGGACTCCTGGATATGAATCTGGCAGACAACACATCTGGAACTGCACTTGAAAGTACCATGCTGGGTGGGAGGGGATGCTTCTAAGGATGGGACTTCAGCTCGAACAATCAAGTCCCGTAGATTTCGAGGACGCCTGTAAGCCAATGTGGGGCCGTTGGGGATGGCGCGGGCAAGGCGATCTGAAGTATGGAGGATATGATGATTGTCATTAGTGATTTTGCGAAGGGGAGGGAGATTGGGGTGAAACGTGGTAACCAAGGGAATCATAGGTTTAGCCATGGCATCAGGGGCCTTTCCCGTGAGAGCTAGATTTCTGGGGATAGCTTTAGCTCTGGCAATGGCACGATGAACTTGGCGAGAGCTGTGACCCCTGGCCACCAAGTTGTTTTTCAGTATCTGTGTATGGCGGGAGAAATCGGAATCATTAGAACAAATTCTTCTGAGTCTGAGTGCCTGGCTAAACGCTATGCCAGTTTTGCAGTGCCTAGGGTGACAGCTGGAGGAGTGGAGGTACTGGTGGGTGTCTGTGGTTTTGGAATACAGGTCAGTGGTTAGTGAATTCCTTTCACAGAACCATCAAATTCACATCGGAGTTCTCGGCTCACCAAACCCACTTTCTGGATGTCACCGTCCGCAAGCAAGGCAACTCACTAACCACTGACCTGTATTCCAAACCCACAGACACCCACCAGTACCTCCACTCCTCCAGCTGTCACCCTAGGCACTGCAAAACTGGCATTTCTGTTTTAGCCTCCGAAGAAGAACTTGCTAAGTTCGCAACGTCAGGCCACATTAATTTTTAGATTTAATTATTCATATGTATGAATGGCAATTCTGCTCGGTGTACACGACGTATATGCGAAAATTCAGTTTTCACGGCGCGTAGCGCCGGAAAATTTTTCGCTACGTGGCAACCCGTGGTCCGATTTTTATGTTTTTGGTATCAAAAGATGCGCAAAGCTCGAGGCTAAAAAGTCATAATAGCTCGGGTCACGAAATTTTTTTTTTAGAGGCTATAGCGGAAAATGTTGAGGGGGGGGGCCGGATTCCGCCCCCCTCCCGGCCCCTTTAGGGTTAAGGACTGTATCTGTCCTTGTAGCATTTTGGAGTTCAGCTTTGGTGATAGCGGAAGCATCAACAAGTAGTGCTGAAATCCACTGGACGATGATTTCATCATCAGTATGTTCGGTTGCGTGCACTGTAGTAGGCAGTGGCAGTCTAGATAGAGCGTCGGCCACTCTATTGTGCGCACCAGCACGAAATTCGACAGTGTAGTTGAAATTCAGCAGACGAGCAGCCCACCTGGCGATCCGCATTGGTTTGTGGCCAGCGCCACGTGTGGACAGCAATGTAGTTAGAGCTTGATGATCAGTTCGAAGAGTATAAACTGACGGCCCCATAAGTACTTGTACCATTTCTCACATGCCCACACGCATGCAAGTGCTTCCCGTTCGCTGACTGAGTATTTGCGTTCCGTAGTTGTAAGAGAGCGAGAAGCAAACGCGATAGGAACTTCGTGATTGTTCTTAATCTGTGCGAGTACAGCACCGATGCCGTAAGCTGAAGCATCAGTAGATACGATGGAAGGAAGTTCGGGGTCAAACAGCGCAAGTGCAGTATCATTGGAAATGTGCTTTTTGAGTAACTCGAGGCACGATTGAGCATCCTCAGACCAAATGAACTGAGTGTCCTTGCGAAGGAGTGCGCGGAGTGGTTCAACCATGGTTGCGTAATTTGGCACAGATCTGGCGTAGTATGACGCAAGTCCCATGAAGAATCGAAGTGTAGATGGATTGGTAGGTTTTTGAGCATTTAGTAGAGCCTCTACGTGTGTTGGATCTGGAGTAAGGTCTTCGGACGAAACGGTATGGCCCAGGAAGCGGAGGTTTGACAAACTGAAGTGGCCGCAGTTCAGCGTGAGACCTAGTTCTGTAAGGCGGTTCAGCACTGCGGAGAGATTGGCATCATGGTCCTTTTGATCGCAACCGAAGATGACAATGTCGTCAAGGTAACATTGTACTCCAGCAAGACCACTTAGAGCACACGACATGAATTTTTGGAAAGCCGACGGTGCAGATGCCAATCCAAAACAGACGCGCTTGAAGCGGAACAAACCAACATGTGTAATGAAGGCTGTGAGATCACACGAATCTTCATGTAGTCGTAGTTGATGGTACGCGGAATTCATGTCAAGGGAGCTAAAAACACTGGCTCCATGGAGTTCCCCTAGTAGTTCTTGAATGTTTGGAAGTGGATACTTATCTTCGAGACGTTTCAGTTCATTTGCCACTTCGCCGCGTACCGAAAATGGCAAATTTCGGAGTTTTTGCTGCATTGGAGGGACGGATGGGCGTACTTTGACTTTGTGTATGTAGTTTTTAGCAAGTCCAACTTTCTCATTGAAGAGCTCGGGGTATTGTTTGCGCATGTCCATTGAAGTTTGGTCGGATGGAGTAGTTGCAGTCGGAGCTGTAGGAGTTGACGATGGAGGTTTCGAGTCGTTGCCATTCACGAGCAAGACCTTACCACCTGTGATTGTAATATCCAGGCGTCGGATCAAGTCTAGTCCCATGATAGCGATGCCAGACTGTACGACGAAAATGTGCGCAGGGACACAACGCTCAGGATTACTTGCAAGACGAACAGTGGTGTGGAATGTACCAAGTACTGTAATCGGTTCGTGCAGGTAAGTAGTGAGTTTAGCTGTTGTAGGTTGCAATGCCTCACGTGCGAAGAACTTTCCGAATGTGGATGCAGGAATTACTGACACAGCGGCGCCAGTATCAACAGTCATCGCGAGTTGCACGGATTGACCAAGGAGCACGGAGCATTTGACACTATCAGCATGTGCAATGTGCTGAATGGTCAAGACGTTGGAGTCTTGATAGTCTGGATGAGGTGCAACGGGATTATCACTGGTGAAAACTCCCTGAACCTGATTGTGTGTAGATTGAAATCTCTGTCCAGGCCGGCAAACACGTGCGTAATGCCCTATTTTTCCACATTTAGAACATGTAGCGTACTTGGCTTTGCAGTTTGGATCATTTGCTTTGTGCGATTGTTCACCACAGCGGTAGCAAATCTGTGACTGCAGCGGTGCTGGTCTTGATTGTTGCGGAGGGTGCTCTGCAGTGTTGCGATGCATACGTGGTTTGCGATTTTGCTGTCGGGGTTTTTGGTGTGTAACTGCATGTACATCTGCCTGTGGGGTATGGCATGAATTCTCCCCGAAGATCTGGGATTCACGCAATGCCGACTCGACTTGACGCGAAATTGTAATTGCATCAGTAAGTGTCAAATCTTGTTCGAGCAGTAGGCGCTCTCGAATCTGAGCAGAGTATGTGCGCTCAATGAAATGATCCCTGATCAGCTCATCCGTCATTTTACCAGAGTTACAGGATGATGCTAAGGCACGTAGCTCTCGGATGTAATCATCGACGGATTCCCCTGGCAACTGTGAACGTCTGCAAAATTTGTATCTCTCAGCAACCACGTTCAGTTTGGGTTGGAAATGTCTGTCAAGCACCCGGAGAGCAGAATCAAATTCATCTTCATTTTCCCCTGAATTCTCTTGTGGAAGCATATGGAAAAATACACTGACCTTCAGCGCCAAGGCAGTGCAGTAACAAAGCACGTTTACGTAAGGCAGGATATGTATTTGCAGCCGATGCAATAGAATGGAGGCGGTGGAATCGATGCCATGGCTTGTAAGAAATCTCAGTATGATCTATCCTCCCTCGTCGTCAATTAATGTTATGTCCAGGGTGTGTAAATGGGTTATAAATCCAGTACTGAGAGCGAGCAATTCAGATTCGAGGTAACACTTTATTCGTACAATTCCAACATGGCGCAGCCCACACTTTTCTACTCCAGAGGGCGCTATGCAAATAGACTGTGAACACAACAGTTATTTGGGAAACCCCGAATGATACATAGACGTTAGCCATATCATGATCGATGAAAAGTCACATGACATGTTTTAACCAATGGAAAATGGTTTCCGCCACACCCTGTTTGATGTATCTGCGAAGTACATGACATGGGGCTAACTCGAAGAGCACGAATTATGTACAGGCGCAATAATTGTCATAGCAATATAAAGTCACATGTCATGCATCTTTGTTGGATGTTGCGTCAGCAAGGCAGGCATTAGCAAGCACTATTATTGGGAAACAGCGATGGCTTCCTTTGTAATTTGTTTTACTTTTCATACACAGAGCTTTGTACATAAGTTTACTTTGTAATGAAAACCCTGATTTTTAAGTCAAATGTTTGTTATGAGTGCCAGTACTGTATGTAAAACTCAAAATTGTTTAGTGGCAGCGATTTCTGAAGATGATCTTACTTCGGCCAAAACTTTTAAAAGGTTACCCTCAAATCTGTCTCACCGTTTCATCATCAAAATGCAATATATATATATTTTTTTTTTGGGGGGGGGGATTTTTTCCTCCCATGTATTTTTTTTGCAAAGGCTGATTCGCCTATTCTCTGCCAGGGAAATGTGCGCCAAGGCAATTATCAGTTTCTCCAACGTACACGCATCATGGAGTAAAAAGTTATAACTTTCATTGACAATGCAGAGGAAAAAACCCATCAATGATTCATAAAAACCCTTAAAGGTGTACTTGACATAATCACACTGTGTCCATCTGGAGAATTCCCCGGCGTCCTTCGGTGGCTGCATGCAAAAACAACCCAACACAAGTTCATAGGTTCAGGTGTCTCGAATCTGGAAATACCCAGCTTACATGAGAGGCGGGAACATAAAACTTGCCCTGAAAAATGCAGGTGTCATTACTGACTTTGCATATAGCATGACAAATCAACACACCTTGGAAATTCCTAGTTTTTGAATAAAATCCATATATCTCTTTCGTGATACCTTGTTGTTTTTGTTGAGACGTATTCACCATATAAATTGCCATGTTGAGACGTTTACAAACCTCTGTTCCTTATTGTACACCTGTCTCGGTAAGGTAGTGAATTACGAAACACTGACGCAGATTCTGGACTCATCTGTGGTGTAATGTTGTACTATTGTTATTGATTGCCGAACCCGCTTCTGTGTCTGATTCAAACCGGCCTACCGCCTCAAGAACCCCGTCGGTCCGAATTGTTTGCTGTGTATGTTGTTTTTTTTGTGACAATATTCCCCTATCCATATGCTTCTGTAATTTACATTTTGTTTGTTTGTTGGTGTTTTTGTACTGTTATTACTTTTTTTCTTCAATATTTGTAAGTGCACCACATTTTTAAGTTCCCTATAAAAACGGAAATTTAGTAGAGAAAAGTTTAACCCAAACTTCCCTGCGAATTCCAACGAAGAGTAACTCTTGCCTGACTCACATTATTAGATTGGCTTTGTAGGATGACAGTCAAATTAGGCCAAGTCAGTTTTAAACAAGTTCTAAACCGTTGTCATCTGCAACATCAAACTGAAATCCCATGTTTTTTGGGTTAAAGTGAGCAATCTCATAACACTTTAAAAGCAGCATGTTACTTTAATGTTGAACAATTTCTTCAGAACAACTTTGGATGAATCGGTGGCGAAAAGGAAAAATTCATAATTGACAGAGGTCATGGCTTGTATATACATTGATAGCTATTTATTCGACTACTACTAGTATTTAACTTGGGCATTTTTTTTTCAAAACCAAATTCTAATTGCAGGTGTTTATGCTATGAAAAGAATTTTCGTACGCAGGGCATTTCATCTCTGACCTCTGGTGTGCTTCAAGAGGTCAATAAACTGTAATGCCCCAGGTATTTAGTGATATCATGAGGGTAGAAATACATCAATGGTGATATTAACCATGGAGCTATGTATTAACTATGTAAACCCTACTTTTTCAGGACCTACATCTAAACTTCTAGTCTTCTTGCCATGATACGAATTGACACATATATGGACAGTTCATGTTTGACCTCTGGTGACCTTCCAGAGGTCAGTGAACTTTGTATACCCACTTTTACTTCAAAATGCGACCTTTTCTTGTCATGAAGTAAGACCCTAAAGACAATTTTCTCACAACCTCTGATCTCCACCCCCCCCCCTTTTTCATGCTGTAGCAGGTGCAAAAGAATATTTATAATAGGCACATCGGACAAACGTCGCACTCTGACGATGACCAGTGGAATTGGTAAAGAGTAAAAACGTGGTTTACCCAAGTCGATCTGGATGCAACTGGGTGTAATAGTGAATTTTGCTATACTCCATTGAAAGTGTGTCACAATTGTGCTCAATATTGTACAGAATATTTGACCTTAACCGTCCTGCACTGCTGCCCATTAAGATTCAACTCCATCTTCAGCCCAATCCCAAAGATGTTACTGTTCTATGACCAGGCATCTCCTGCTAGTCCTGTACTTATTTAAAGACCACCGGACATCTTTAGTACATATGTGAACTCATAATTTAACCTCTCAATGTGTTTAGTTGCCATGGTCATCTAAAGTCGGCACTTTCAAGCGCACTGTCATGGACATTAAACAGGATCATGGAAAAGTTAACATTAGGCCTCCCTGTTTGGAAAATGGACATTTGGCGATGAAGGTGTGCTCTATTTTCATAAAATTGGTTTCAAAGCAACTGAAATACATCAGTAAACATGTCAGAGAAACTTGGTACGATTAAAAACAAACACAATGTGACGTTGTAGACGGAAATGCACTTGGAGAGGGTGGCGGCCACGCCTCTCTTAATTTGTCTAACCCAAAATCATTCTTAACCGTGTGTGTGTTTTTTTTTTTTTTTTTTTTTTTTTTTGGGGGGGGTCTTTTGTCCTCGCCTGGGTATGTACAAAATGCTACCGTGTAGCCGTCACCAAAGCATGCCATCGGTGGAGCGTTAGAACGGAGGGTACCGTAGTTCAACGCTCCACTAAGTAGAGCTGAAGACTAGACAAGTCAACATGGTCAAGATTAGATTTAAAAAATGCCTAGTCATTTGCAGCAAAGTTGTAAAATATGAACAATGAGGCATCAATCCTTCCTTTCCTTCCATCCACAGCTTGTAAGTTATAATAAATAATCGTCCGGTGATCATGCCATGAGCTTTTACTTAGTGCTGAAGTCGCCGTAAACAGGTTACACGCGTAGTCAGTACGTATAGTACAGTCAGTATAGTCAGTACAGTAGTCAGTACGTATCCGAGGAAAATTTCAATATCAAAGTCAAATTGTCTGCAGCCCCAGGCCTACCTTTCGCTGAGACTTCTTTTAGCTTCCAAGGCCGTCGACGTGAACCCCCGACATTTTAGCCACCGTTTTAAGTCTTCTACGCCGTTGTCGTTTACAACAGTGCAGGGTAACTTTGCACCCTCCACCGAATCCACAGTGTGTTTCACGACAGTGTCCGCCATATTTTATTTGATTCCCACTTTTCTCCCACAACGCACAGCGGTAAACATTGTGTGACGGCATGGGTTCTGGTGTCTCCAATCTGGAAATTCCCGATTTTCTTTACATAACGAGCGGCAACACAAAAGTGCAGAGGTCATTATTGACTTTGCAGTTTTGATAACCGCACCCATTTTGAGCAATCCTGTAATTTTCCGGATTTTTCCGCTCGTAGATCTCATCTCCCTTTGATTGTAAAAGAGTGCGCCAAGTAGGTTCTCTATAAGTTTCCATTTAGACCATTCAGCTATGCGTGGTGGTTTACAAACAACGCAGTTCTGTCAGAGGGATCAGCGTGAACCGTAGCACTCGGCTAAGAGAGCCTTCTTTCTGACGAGTGATCATACTGAAAGAAAACAATCTTATCGTCTGCTTTATGTAGGTTTCGTCTTTTGTTAAATTAATTTGAGAGTTATTATTTTTATCCAATGGAAAATATTTTGGTAGATAATTTGGAAACTGCTAGTATCGTAATTTAGAATGTGTTTTGAAATAGGAAATTTCATCTGAGATAAATTGTTTTAAGCAAAACTCAGAAGATCGTGTTCACGTCTCCCCGCAACAACGCTATCGCCCGGTGGGGATTTTGTCATTTCTCGCAAAGCGAATTTTGTGATATATGTTTTGTTTAGTCTTATAGTGATGTGAGTGCATTATTCATGTTTTTGACTAGTTTAGGTTTTCCAAGAACCAATCGTCTTCCAGCTCAAGCTTTCATCTTCAACAGGTAAGAAACTGTAAAACCAAGATATTACACATGAGTCATTGACATGACAAAGCTAAATATTAACGTTTTGAATAGTTCTCATAATATCAGTTGTTCCCTTTTGTACTTGTTTTAAATTTTACTACAAATTAGCTATACTATACTATCATACTTTTTTATTTCTCGGGAAACATCAACATATACATGTTCACATATGACCCAACTTACAAAAAATACATAAAAAGAAAGTTTTCGATATATACAAAAAAAAGACAAAATACCATTTAGCTCCCGAAGGATTACCCAAAAGAAAGATTGTTCCTGTCGAGGGGTTCTCTAAGCTAAATGGCATACGTGAACACAAACAGAAATAAACTTCAAATGAAGTATTGATGACAAAAAGAAAAAGTTAAGTAAAGTAAAAAAAAATACCTTAAATTTACATAAAGATTAGAACAAAGTAGCTAGATTATATCATTT